TTTCAGGTGCCTTGAACTTCGTATTTTTCTCGAGTGTGTCTCTGAATATTTCTCTGGTCAAGCACACTATATTTCTCTTTGGCTGCTTCGTTTATATAGACTTGTTTAGGGCAGACCGTTTGAATAATCCTCCTTGAATAGTTGATCTCCTAATCTTGAGACTTGCCTTGATATTTTGAATTACTTTCCTTAGAGTAGCTCTCTTTATTCGGTCTCAAATATGAGTAAATTTGCTCAAGATTCACGAGTCAACATATAAGGAAATAATATTGATTTACTTAACATGCTTTAGTCAAGCAACGGACCATATCAATAAAAATATTCAAGATATTCAAATAACACATAAGAGCACATCAACTTGGGAGAGTATCTTATGCAGCAACGGCTCCAACAATAATATGGCAAGGAATAATTTATTCTCTTATTATAGCAAGAGAGCAATAAAGTGGTCAATGATTACTTAAAGATATGCAAGTAATGATGCTACGTGTAACTTACTATATGCAAAGATCTCACACAAATAATTCAATCATGGAAGGCAATGTAATTGGTATGGTAAGAAATATTTATTTCAAAAGGAAAAAGCCACTTACGGTAATCTTCCATAAGGCAAGATATTTAATTCATTAATGCTATGGTCAACCCAAAATTACTTGTCATAAAGTAAAAAGCACAATTACTTTTATGAAGCACAATTACGTATAATATTATATGGTCATGCAATAATGCACTCATATTACTTTCCATAAAGTGACTTTCCATAAAGCATATGTAACAATACATTTCACAAAATATTTAATCAATTATAGAAAGGTATTAATGCATGTAAAATATCATACGTTGAAAGACATGCACATGCAGACGCATACTAAATTATGGGACCGAATGTTTCGTGGAACTGTTCTGTCCAGAGTTCATATTAGAACTCTCCGTAGTCGGTTCTGTCCCCCGTTCCATCTGCATGGTTAGTCATCAACAAAACCACATACTCAACAATCCATGTTCATGAACGAAAAGGGATGCTTCCACACAATTAGGAATTTAGGAGTCACCTTTCTCCAAGCTTTCTCCTACTATCTAGTTTTGGTCCAATAAATAGAGAAGTTTGTAAAACTTTCTGTCATCAGATATTAGATCATCATATCATAACCAAAAGAGTTGTACGTGTAATATATATCCATATATATTTTACTCTTACTTATAACCTGTGCAAATTTTAACATGGTCGTCCATCCAGAACATTTTTATTTAAATAATAAATGAATTAAAAAACAATATAATCAACACAAATATGTAAATTTCATGCATGTGCTGAAGTATATGTTTTAATCAGTAATTCTTTATAGATCTTATAGATTTAGCATTTATGCTTTGGAGGATCCTACTACATGACATTGCCGTGGAAATTCTTCAACAATACAACATAACCCATCGAAATAACAAAGTTAATGATTTTGATTTCATCATAGCAGGTTTCTTACTAGCTAGAAAAGATTTTGATTTATAGTACTAACTAAGAAAAATATAGATCTCTACTTTCTCTTGAAGATACTTGATATGCTGTTGCTCGAGATATTTCGGGATTCAATGAACCTGTGTCCTCGGAAATAAAATATTGCAAGTTGCAAGTTATATTATACGTAGTAGTGTAGTACTACCTCCGTCCCACTAAGATTGGGACGGAAAAAGGTGACACAATTATTAAGAAAAGTGGGTTTGTGTGGTTGATATTAAATTGATAAAGTAAGAATAAAGTAAGAATGATTTAGAGCCATGCAATCTTTACCAAATTTGTTATGGGACAATCTTAGTGGGACTTCCCGAAAAGGTAAAATGGGACAATGGGACGGAGGGAGTACTATGCAACTTTGATGAGTATAAACTCGAGAGGGACTTCACGATCAAATGCCCATATCTCGAGCTTTTTTTTCATTTTTTTTTCATTTTCAGCTACAAGGCCGTATTCAAAAAGTTTTATTACAACTCCTACCTTCTCTTGGTGAATAGATAAGAGCTGGTTGTCTAGCAAAAAAGTAAAAGTTTTTATTTTTTGGGCTGTTCTTTCAATTGCATCTGCCCTTCTTTTAAATAATAAGGTAATTGGTATGATAGAATTATTCATAGTATCCCCTTCTCATTACGTACTTATAAGATGCATAATTCATCTATACTTATTTATTCTATTTTACTAATCTCATTACTTAAGATGCATAATTCATCTATACTTATTTATTCTATTTTACTAACCTAAAGTGAGAAGGTCCGGCATAATATTATAGCCCTTGATTCAAAGATACTAGTACTAATTATGAATTGATTTCCAACGTGTTTATCAAAATATATGCATTTCACATCAATCTACACACTTAAATTAGAATTAGGTAGAGGCCTTCTAATATTCTAAAAAAAAAACAAAATCAACATCACGAGAAAGCATAAAACCGAACAGCACTCCTATAATTTTACAATAAAATTATGTAGTTAATATTCTATTGTTGACTCACTCATGAACTATGAATCGAACTCTAAATATATTTTTGTACAAAAAAAGTGATCTGATATGGTCTGATCAAATCGAACTATTGAACTTAATATTATATTGTTGACACACTTATGCAAAATTTTAGTAACTTAATTTAGTTAATATGACAAAATTAATTTATTACTCTAGTCATATATTATACTTAAGAAAATATTGATGTTTTTAATTGGATTAAAATTTTCAGATTTGTCTGTTTTATCACTGTTGAAGTTTGATCTTATCTTAGACTGAAAACAATTTCAATAATTAAGAACATTATTCTAAGAGGTCACATATATGACTCCACTTTGCGAAACTTTATAAAATAATATAGACTCCACCATGGAGTCGTCTGTGTGTGGTAGAGCAATCCACATATCGACCAGAAATAATTACATATTTATGATCAAAATAAAACTTATTTACGAAAATGTGATATCTTAAATGTGAGTGTCGTTCCTATCACGAGCTCCTAAAGAGAAGTCCCGTGCAAACAAGACCATCAGAGGGTCTTCCCGATGGAGTTTTTTATGAAATTTTGTGATCATGTTATTAATCAAGTTTAGTTTATTCATATCAAATTTCAACTCAAAATTCGATCGGAAAGGTAGTCAAATAAATTCATGAAACATACTGCGCATTATAGGTGCGCGGAATGCGCCATATGTTTGAAGAATTTATGTGACTGCCTTCCCGATCTAATTTTGAGCTGAAATTTGGTATGCATAAAGTAGCCAAAACATGCTCAAAACATTTCATAAAAAAATTCCACCAGAAAGACCCTCTTATGATCTTTTCCGCACGGGGCTTCTCTTCAGGAGCTCCTAATATAAACTGCCCTCTCTTAAATGTATTGCTTTTGTAATAATTTTAGCCATAATAATTTATCAATTTTCACTTAAGTAACCATGAGACTACATTGTATATAAATTTCATTTCAGTATTATTATGGAAAAAACCTCTTTCTTAAATATGTTATATTTATTTTATTCTCGAAAATATTTTTCATTCATTTCATAAAGAAAAGTTATTAGTAATTTTCTTTATTTCAGGAACCTGGAATAATCAAATCCTATTCTTAGTGCAAATTTCAAAATAAGGATATATATATATAGCTATTGGGCTGATCTGTTATCACCCATATATTTAGTCAAATACCACTATTTCATATAGAGGCCGTTTGCCAACACTATTTTTCGGCTTATTAACAAATTTTTCATAAAAAATGCAACTTTTACTTTCACGCGTTGAATTGTGTAATAAGCAGAAAAAGTAAGGTTGGAGTTACTTTTCTGGCCGTATTGGTTAAAGTTATTGTAAATGACCATTTTAATTAGCTATTTTTACATAGAAATAGTTACATAATTATGACCAAAATAAAGATGCTTACAAAGATATGACTAGTTACTAGAGTAGTAATGAATTCATAGTAATTCATGTTCAAGTTTTGAATTTAAGTTACCACAACACTATGTTGTAGTAATGAATAGTCATATTTATGTAAATAAGTTTTATTTTAATAATATTCTTGTAAAAAGCCTCAGCCAATACAGCCACTTCAACCAGAACTTCATAAATTTCACCAGAATCAGCTAAATCAGCCGATTCTACCAAACGGGATCATAGTTCTTTTTTGTGAATCTATGTACAAAAGAATACTACATATAGATAATAGATTCGCACGATCAACTAAAATATTCATTCCAATATTTGTTATAGATAATTCTTGGTGTGCTTTTTGAGTATAAATGTAAATTATATTAAGTAAATGTGACAAAAACTAAATAAAAACATCGATCTCTTGATTCATAGTTGCATCATATCAATAGATCATGCAAAATGTGACGAACCATTTTATTTTCGTGATGAATAACGACGCATGCAGAAACTTTCAACCTATGGACGCCACTTGATTCTTCATGCCAAATACATGCTAATTGTACCTTACCTCATCTATGGAGTACCAATTCTATCAATTCCAATCGGCGAACCCAAACTAATTTGTTTTAAGGATTTAGGGTACGTATTTTGACAAATTGATTTAGTACCTATATATATATATTCCTCGTTATATTAGGTAGTACTACCTCCGTCCCACTAAGATTGGGACGGAAGAAGGTGGTACGATTATTAAGAAAAGTGGGTTTGTGTGGTTGATATTAAATTGATAAAGTACTATCTTTAAACAATGGTTTAGAGCCACACAATCTTTACCAAATTTGGTATGGGACAATCTTAGTGGGACTTCCCAAAAAGATAAAATGGGACAATCTTAGCGGGACGGAGGGAGTACTATTTTTCATTTCTGTCGATTGAGACATGGAATCAATTGGCTCCAAGTACCAATCCAATTTATTAATCCCGCAACTATGTAGTTTAATCTAAAAGCATTGTTGAACTTGTTATTAAAATGAAAAGTAAGAAAATACTATGTATGTAGTATATATTAATTATTCAAGCATCTCGGTTTTATTGAACTCTTTTTTTATCAACCACTAAGAAAGTAATCGTGTCACATTGGACGGACGGGTAGGCCTCGTGCCTACCGTTTGGTGCGGCGATTATCGATCGTCCGCGGTTTTCTTCTCTTCGCTCGACGATCGAGTCTCGAACAAACAGCAGTTTCGGCGCTCGAGCCTTGAGTTCGTGATCTGGGCGAACGAAATGGAGCAGAATGACACCAATGGAGGGGAAGCACTGGCCAACGCCTATGAAATGTTGGATCTGGAGGAAGAGGACGATGTCCTCGTGGTCGCACTAATGGCTCTGCCCTCAGCGAAACACAATCTGACCATGGTGGGGACCATTACATCGGAAATGTTGATACGTTTTTCTCAATTTAGAGATGTCTGACTATGGCGTCTGTGTGGAAACCGGAAAATGGTGTTTCTATAACTGAAATTGGTCCTAGACGGTATGTTTTTTCAGTTCTATAATGAGGAGGATGTCACTAGGGTTGATGAGGAAGGTCCTTGGCTTTTTTATTAGAACCTAATTGTTATGAGTAGGCTTAAAGTGAGAGATATTCCCCATGTCTGTTCCACTCAATAAAGCGGATTTTTGGGTTCAAGATCATGATATCCCAGTGGGATATTTCACTGTTGAGAATGCGGAACGTATTGAGAACTTTTTAGGAACTTTTATAAAAGTTGATGATAATAACTTTTCTGAGAATTGGGAATCCTTTATGAGGATTCGTGTTTGTATTGATCTGGGGAAACCTCTGAAAAGGAAATTGGTTTTGCAAAAAGAGGAAGGAGTCACTTTCCGTGTCAGATTTTGCTATGAGAAACTGCTTAGCTTCTGCTTTCTGTGCAGAATAATAGGGCATGCAGAAAGTCATTGCCTGCGTAAGCGGCGGGGCTACGAAGTCACTGGTGAAAAACCTTTTGGTCCTTGGCTTAGAGCTACAAAAGGGCCAAAGCAATGGAAAGAGAATAAATGGCTAGTTCCAGCGGAGAAAGGAATATGTTCTGATAGCAAGGCTACCAGTGGAAATAGAGAGGACAACATGCAACCAAGTACTAGGGAGGGGGGCTCTCACCACACGAGAGGGGATACATTGAGCAGAAACAAAGGCGTGTGGAGGATCCAACAGAGGACTAGACCGCCATGCACAACAGTGAGAGACACTGGTCCGAAGCTTTGGGAGTTAAATAAGGCCGAGGGCCATGAAGACTTTATTTATTTTTGCTATTTTCTCTTTTATGGTACTCATGTTGCTTTTCTTATTGTTTGGAACTCTAGGGGTAGGTTGTGGTTCACCTTTTCTTTTTTGCTTTGGGATGTTATTGTTGGTGGAAGCGATAAAGCTTGTTTGACCGTTAAAAGCTTCAAAACTCTCAAATGGTTCACGAATAGTCTCGCACTCTCGCTCTTTATGGGGTGGTCTATTCTAAGCCTAGCCAGAGAGTGGGGGGGCCTTTGGGCTTTGCGGGGCCTCAAGAGGAGGTTTGGCGTTATAAGGGTGATAGTACTTTTAGAGGTCTGAGTGAGGAGGTTGGGCATTGTAAGGGTGGAAGTGCATTGAGATCTTTGATTAATTCTACCTCCGTCCCAAAAAGATTGGCCAATTTGACTTTTCTTGGTCAATGATGTTAAATTTTAGACAATGATTTTATGTATTATACTAACTCTTGTTGTGCACTCTTCTTTTAGGTAATTATCATGAATTATAAATATTACGTATGACTTATGATTAGATTCATCTTACACTAATTTTTTGAAATAATGATTTTTTAAATAATTTTTAATAATGATCAAGAAAATATATTAAGCGGCAAGCATTACGTACGGTGTAAATGTACGTCTGAGGGACCAAAGGAGGCATTAAGTTAACAAAAAAAATCTACAACTGATGTTTTTTTTGGACGGTTTTCAGTTCCAGACCAAGTCAGACCATACCAGATCATATCAGAACAGATCAGATCAGATCAAACTTGACTTCCGTAGTTATAAAATATACAGAGACCGGACGTTTACCAGACCAGACCAGACCAGTTCAGACCAGACTAGCAAATTTCAGTTCAAAAGAAAACATCCTAAACGAATTCATTAGTGTTTTAGGATGTGTGTAATGGACTGAATTTTTTTTATCTGATTTGATTTGTTTTGAATTGATCTGATAGATATCAAATCTATTGTTTTTATAATCGTCTGATCTGATCTAGTATAATCTAGTCTCTTGACCAACTCTATGAAGATAATACTAATAAAATAAAGCAAATTAAAAAGGAGTATGAATGTATCATCCTTAATCCCAAAAAATACTCCCTCCGTTCCAAAAAATACTTTACATTTTTCTTTTTGGGTCGTTCCAAAAAATACTTCTCATTTCTATTTTTGGAAAGTTTTGTATAACTCACATTCATTTATCTTTTTCTTAATTAACCACAACCATACATTTCCACTTTATTCTCACTTTCTTAATAAGTATGCCAATTTAAACTGAGAAGTAATTTTTGGGACGGAGGTAGTAGTAAATTGTGCGCATATTGATCCACTAAAATACTCCCTCCGTCCCAAATTATAGGATACTTTTCGGTTTACGATGTTTGACCGACGTGTAAGCAAACGAATCCCTGTCTGCACTCAAATTATTTTTAGAAAAAAACTACATATTCAGAAACTACATTAAAACCGCTACAAAACCTGCAAAAGATAATTCGAATTTCATAAAATTTTGATATATAAATTAAGAGATTAAGAGTGATTTGTGTTGAACAAGTGAATAGTAAAAATATCTTATAAAATAGGACCATCGAGTAACATATTAGTTCCGCAATTGAATGTATCATCCGATTGGAGTACGTAGGAGGTGACCCATCTTCAGTTGCATGGTAGATCGCCACATTCTTCTTTGTCATCCAAAATATCTACGGAAGCAGAATCAATTGAATTGGTTCATAATGGAAAATGTGTGACCCAAATGTTATTTTTAGCTGTAAATCTGCAATTCTAAAATGAAATGAAGTGGCATTTAATATGTACATTTATTTTCATTTTATAATGGTAAAACGGTTCTGGGTCAGCATTTAATTTGGGTCACATTCTCGATAACATTATCTAAAATTCTAAATTCTAAAGTATGACCTTTCGAGAGAGCCCTGCTCTAATACATGAATATGAGGCACATCACCATAAACATTATTGGCATTGTCATCATTTCATACTATTTGCATCAACGGACCAATTTTAAAGGTAATGCCTTGCACACACGTTTTATATGCACCCTGCATAAACAGGGGCGTAGACAGGGGTGGCCATCCCTGGCCATGGCCCAGTTCAAATTTTAAAAATGTCTAAACTTTTAGGGTAAAAAATTCTGTGTAAAATTTTTTTCAAAAATATTCTTTGTACCAGCCCAGTCCGGCCCAGTGTCCTAACTCCGCCCCTGTGCATAAACACTTTAGCTCTATAACCAGACCATTTGTTCAAATGGTCAGTATACACAAACATTTTTGAACAAATTTCTCATACACATAGATGTACGGATGCTTGTACAAAAAGAATGACACCTCATTCTTGAAAGATTTCCAAAATCTAGCTGATAGTCAAAGGCCGAGTAAAAAAACTGGGCCAAATTGTACCGGCACAAAAAATGTTTTTGGATAAAAATATATAAATAATTCTTACACTAAAAATATAGTCATCTTTTTAAATTTAGGGTGAATCGGAGTCTAGATTGTCACTCTAACTAAGAGAAAGAGAATAGAGTTGCTTAACCGACCTGGACCTAGCTTTTGTCCCCTTTTCTCCCTTGACAATGTTTTACTCATATTTTAAGTAATATTTTCTTTAAATAAGATGGAAGAGTCTCTTTAACATGTAGTCTCATGTTGAGTTGGTCTTATTCTACAGTACCTTACCACATTCTAGTATAGGCTCTTCATTCTAACTATTCCTCTCATTCCAATGGATTTACTACCTGTGAAAACGCCAAGATACAAAATCGAAGCCAAAAACCTCTCCTTCACACTTCCCAGTAAAGACCATGATGAGTTTGATTGGACGTTATGGAAGCGTCTGGCGCTCATAAAAAGGAGAAACAGCAATATCAGGCCTTACATATTGAGGAACGTAAACTGTGAAGCCAGAGATGGGGAGATTACGGCAATCGCCGGCCCGAGTGGAGCCGGGAAGACGACCCTGCTCGACATCCTTGCCGGGAATAAGGCGACGTCGTCGTCCAGGGTCGTCTCAGGTCAAGTTCTGGTCAACGGTCAACCCATGAACCCCCCGCATTTTCGGAGGATTTCAGGGTATGTGACGCAGGACGAAGCGCTTTTTCCTCACCTCACGGTGGAAGAGACGCTGACTTACAGCGCGCGGTTCAGGCTGGGATTGGGGCGGAGAGAGGCGAAGGAGAGGGTGGCTAAGCTTTTGAAGGAGCTCGGGTTGGACCATGTAGCAGGTATTCACCCAAAACTTACTTTGATCACATGCACAGAGCTCCACCAATACAAATGAAGTATGTTTGTTTTTCACCATTCTTGATATACATATTTTTATTATTCACACACTTTTATACGGAGTATATGTTTGTGCACAGTTAAAACACACTGTATTCACAGGAAAAGAGAACTTTTACAAGCGTGTTTAAAAATATGTACACGGTAAAAGTGTGTACAAAATGTTTTTTGTTTTGTTTTATGCTTACAAATAGGGTGACTAAAATCTAGATTCTAGAGATAAGTCCAATAATCTAGTGTTCAATCCCAAAGCAAGAGTATAGGTTATCTTTGACACAGTTTGACTCTTTTAGGTCAAACTTTATAAACTTTGACCATTAATTATTCAAAACTCACATTATGTTATGATTAAAAATTTATTTTATATACCTCATTGTAAAACATATTATTTGAATGTTAATTTATTATGAATTTTATAAATATAGATATGTAGATATTTAGAGTCAAAGTTCAACTTAGAAGACCGTGAAAAGTCAAATGGGAAGATCTTTGTGTTACAGAGGTAGTATGTACTTTCTCTTTGTTTTTATGTATTTTTATGGACGTTTTAAAGTACACTTAGTGAATAATTGTTATGGAGTACCACAACGTCCACAAAATTGAAGCAAAAAACCTTTCCTTCACTCTTCCCAGTAAAACGTTTCAAAGTACACTTAGTGAATAAAAACATAATAAGACACTTAGTGAAAGTATTTTTTATGTACTTTCAATAATTGATACAAAATTGAAGCAAAAAACCTTTCCTTCACATATTATAATATACGGAGTATATGTTATGTTAATTGTCAATACCTTTGATTGGATGAGTAGTTTTTAGTGATATACGGCCGGAGTACGATAGTATAACATATTGAAAAAAATGTGTGTTAAATAAAGAGTTGATTGTTCGATTTAAGGGGAAATTCTCGAAATTAATAAGTGTAAAAATAATTTGAAATTTCAAAATAAAATTTTCATGTTTTTATTATCTAAATAAGAATAATTACTAGCTCTCAAATATAGAAATATTGTCGTGTTTAAAGTTTGGTAATGCCAAATATATTACTCCGTAGCAATTACTCCTACTTAGTGAATAAAAACATAATAGTTCTATTTTTAAATATGACACTTACTTTTTATTTACTTGTGTTTGATATTTAAAAGCAATTTTTATAAGAACGCCCTTAAAGTTGGTGTTCCAAATATACAACTACTACTGCCTTCCTCCAGAAAAAGGTTCGACATATTGACTTTTCTTAATCAATGATAACAAACTCTAGACAATGATTTTAATTATTAATTGATTATATTTGTTCATAGCTTATACGGAGTATGTTTTACTTTTATGAAAATATTTTGAATAAGAACATGTTGAAATAATTTTCATAATGAAAAGAATTTTGTATGAAAAATTATTATTGGTCAGAGTTGATTGCAATTGACCAAGAAATTAAAAGTTAATTTGGTCAATCCTTTCGCGACAGAGAGAGTAATTTTTAGACACTTTTTAAATAATATAAAATTAGAAGGTAGGGAATTCTACCAAATATGCCTTATACCAAACAAAGAACCGGTTTAGCAACACTCAAATTTATTGAATCAACTTAATCTGCTACAAATGGGAAAATTCTGATTGAATCGGTTGAAACTGGTGTGATGTATGAAAAACATATTTAAAATATATTTAATTAATGTATTGAAAAAAATAGATGAGAAATAGTTCAAATACCCATTTATCAATTGTACTTGTTTTTATTATTATTATTATTATTATTATTATTATTATTATTATTATTATTATTATTATACTAGGGTAGTATTCAATGCAATATGAAAAGTAAAAAAGTTGTCTTATAAGATTGATAAGTTGAAAATAGATGTTATCAAATGAACTCTAATTATAAAGAAACAAATAAACAAAATGTGCTGCCCTTTTGGGAGGTTTATAATTGAACTGGTTTACATCCCCGACTAGATCAATTTAACTAGACTTAAACAGATCATATTAGACTAGACTTTACCAATTGTAAAATACATGTAAGAATACATTTATCAGATCAATTCAGATCACATCAAACCAAACTAGAATATCACACTCCAATTAAAACACACCCTTAGTGTATAACTTCCATCTATGAAAAGCAATCACAAGGAGTACAGTACGGTTATCTCCCAAGTAAAATTAATAAACCACTGACCTATATGCCGCAAAGCAGTAATTGGCCATCCTTAAAAAATGTGAGGAATGAGACGAGGGGTGGACTCGGGCCGGGCGGGCCGGAACCGGACAGGCCCGGTACTGTTTGGGCCCGGCCCGGTCCGGTACCCGGTCTTGGGTCTGGTTCGGGCCACTCGGAACCGCTCCTATCCCGGTTCGGGCTCAGGCCCTCTAAAACGCGAACCGACCCGGCCAGTTCGGGCCATTTTTTTCCATTTTTTTTTTATTTCTACTGGGTTGGGCTGGGTGTTTTGGGGTGGTTTGGGGGGTGGGGCTGAGGGGGGGGTCGGGATTATATAGAAAATCAAAAGAAAAAAAAAACTAGGCCCTAACCGGAACCGGCCCGAACCGGTACTGTTTGGGCCCGGCCCGGCCCGGAACCGCCGGCTACCCGGGCCGGTTCCGGTTCCATCATTTCCAAATAAAAGCCCGGCCGGCCTAGGCCCGAACCGGAACTGGCCCGGCCCGGGTCCACCCCTAGTAGGGTTGTAAACGAATCAAATATTTTTTGCTCGATTCGCGATTCGAATTCGTATAATACTATTTGAATTCGAAAAATTCAAATACAAATACAAATAAGAATACTAAATTTGATTCGAATTGTTATCAAATACAAATAAGAATATCAGTGTATTCGATTCAAATATTAATCAAATATATTCGATTAATGATAGTGATATTATAATAATAATAATAATAATAATAATAATAGTAATAACACTATAATAACTTTTAAAAAATAGATATACACTCAAAGGGTAGTCCATATATACATTTATGTATACAAATTTCAAGCGCATTTGTAATAAATCAGAAGTATCATACGGAGTAAGGATAGTAAATGAAGCAAATAATTTTAATTTCTTTCGTGGTTTGGATTCAAAAAATATGATTTAAATTTGAAAATATAGAATATAAATACGAATACAAATCAGATTTTTGGTTCAAGTACGAATACAAATAATTATGTATTCGATTCAAAGAATAAAATTAGAGGCGTTTGACTACGATATACGAAGTATACAATTATCAATTTGTTTCACACATTATAAGTGTAATTTCTAATATGTGTGTGTTAGTGTTTATCTCAAAACGTTTGAAATAAATTTATATTTATTAATCATAAAATTGATTGACTTTAGTATATTGTGCACAACCTATAAATGTATCGATCCATTAAATTTCAAAGAAAAATGTACATTTTAAAAATTAAATTTTAAAAACACATATTACGTCATAGCATGCATTTATAAGAAAATTACTTTAAATTGATATTTGACTAATATTTAACTTATGCTCAAATCGATTCGATATTCGTATATGATTCGTTAAATATTCGTATTGTTAAACAAATACAAATACAAATCAAAATTAATATTCGTTTCATATTTGAATTCGGATTCGTATTCGAAAAAATTAAACAAATACAAATACAAAATCTCACTATTCGACTCGATTCGGTTCGAATACAACCCTAACCCCTAGGAATGACTATAAGTCTATAATAATAACTTATTCGTAGTAATTTATGCTTAAATCTCAAAACTTATTCGTAGTAATTTATAATAATAACTATCGATCATATTTGTGCAAATAAATTATACTTTAACACTGTTTTTTGAAAAAAACCCCATTCTTAAACACAATCCCTATGAGGTAAAATAGTAATTACAGTTATATTTTGAATTTAATACATTTACTTTTAATTTATTGTGGTATTTTTATAATGTTTTATTCCTATTTAGACAATTTATATATAAAAATTATAAAAAGAAATGAAAAACATAAGCGATGGAAAGTAGGATACAAATACGAATGGAATTTGGAAGCAAATATTGACAACTTTGCGAAAACGAACACAAAACAACAAGTAACAAACAGACAAATTAAAGTATTGATTATTGAACTATAGCATGGAATAAATTCAGAACACTTATTTTTTAAAGTTTTTAATACCTCGTATATATTTCTAGAAAGAAAAAAAAGATGGCACCCCATCCTTGAGGCCCCCCAACATCGACCGGATAGCACGATGAGAGTATGTAAATTGGACTATAATCACAATCTGACGGATCGAGAGTGGAGCTCTGTCCCCGGTACTTGCAGAGGCCCTGTGTTGAGTAACTTTTCATCGCAGTTGTCGGGATTCGAACCCGGGACTTAATCCTTATACCACTCACTCGCTGTCACTTGAGCTACGCCCACTGGTAGGGTATATTTGTGAAAAGAAACTATTGTAGGTAAGATCGACTAAAACATGGATGAACAAACTTTCAAAAGATGATTGCTTAGGATTAGTCCCAAAAAATTTACTTCGTATTTAGCACTAATGGAAAGATACGCGTTAATATTTCTTTTTTAGGATTGAATGAGTGCTACACTAGAAAAAAATGACGGTTCTATTCAAAATAAGTTTTTCACATAGTAACTTATTATATCATTTATAAGTTCATATAAAATGATAATGGCCGGATAAAGCAAAACTTTAAACACTATTCCTTTACCCAGTTCAAAAGTTGGGATTTTTTTCAAAAATATTACTAAAATAAAGCTTATTTACACAAATATATGATTAGTATAGTTACTACAATCAATGTAGTTTCATGGTAATTAAGTTTAAAAATTGAACATAAGGTACTATTTTTTTCATTACTACTCTAGTCACTAGTCACATTTTTATAAATAATTTTCATCTTAGTCATAAATATGTAACTATTTCTTAAAATTAAAGTTACCACTTTGCTTTAATTTATGATCGTTCATATCTGGTATAGTCAAATGATAAGAGTATGCATATGATTATTAATAATTGAAATATATATACGGAAATTATGTTAGATGTTCCATTGTAATGCACAGATCAAATTAGAATGTGATAAAAAAAAACTTATATAAAATTAAATATAAAAACAGTTTTTTTGCAGTAAATATAAAAGCAGTTAAATGACTAATATGTAGGACTTCTTTCAATCTTTCGTCCCTTAAACTTTGTTGTTTTGACTTTCTTGATCAATGATGAATGATGATAACTTTCGGTCAATGATTTTTCGTAACTTATTGTTCATGTGTCACAAAAGTTGTAGATGTAGATTCTGTGGAGAGAAACTTTAGATGGAATTAATATATAGCTGCTCTAAGTTTTCTATGTTTGTCCATATTGCAATTTCAATATGCAGGAATGAGAATAGGAAGCATAGGCAGTAGGAGGATATCCGGAGGGGAGAAGAGGAGAGTCTCCATCGGTGTGGAACTAGTCCATAACCCCTCTGTTCTTCTCCTCGATGAGCCAACTTCTGGGCTTGACTCCGCTGCAGCCCTCCACGTGGCTTCACTTCTGCAACGCATGGCCAAGAACCAAAGTAAGACAGTGGTGCTAACCATCCACCAGCCGGGGTTCAGAGTCCTCGAGCTATTCGACAAGGTGGTTCTTTTATCCCACGGCTTCATCCTCCACAGTGGATCTTTACAGCTTCTTGAGGAGAAGCTCAAGTCATCGGGCTACTCCATCCCGCTTCACGTCAACGTTCTCGAGTTAGCCATTGAAGTCTTCACTGCTGATTATAATCATCATGTAGAAATAATTGATGATGACTACAATGAAGGTGATGCAATAATGATAAAGGAAGGGAAAACGCACTTTAGTTCAAATGATTCTTCTTTTCACTCAAATTTTGCATGGAAGGAGGTGTTGATTTTGAGCATGAGGTTCTGCAGCAATATATTCAGATCAAAGGAACTTTTCCTGGCTAAGCTCATGCAGGCTCCACTTGTGGGTGTTCTATTGGGATCCGTTTTCTTGAACACTTACAATAATCATGATCCGAATAAGAAAATGCCACCACAACAGCTTCAAAATCAGCTAGGGTTCTTCGCGTTTAGTCTCACTTTCTTGCTGTCCTCTAACGTAGAAGCCCTCCCAATACTGTTGGAAGAGAAGCGGGTCGTAATGAGAGAGACCTCGTGGGGAGCCTATAGAATCTCCACTTACACCATAGCAAACGCTTTAGTGTTTCTTCCCTTTCTTCTTTTGGTGGCTCTAATGTATGCTGTACCCGTTTACTGGCTAGTCGGGCTCCGACCCAAATTCGATGGGTTCTTATACTACTGTCTCATTTCTTGGATGATTTTCTTGATGGGAAATTCTTTCGTCTCAGCGTGTTCTGCACTAGTTCCAAACTTCATTGTAGGAATGTCACTCATAGGATGTGTGATTGGATCATTTTTCCTGTTCTCTGGGTATTTTATAGGGAAGGAATCCATTCCTAAGTTCTGGGTTTTTGTGCATTATCTGAGTCTTTTTAAGTACCCATTTGAGTGTTTTCTGATCAATGAGTATGGAGGAGAATATGGGAGAGGAAAATGTGTGCAGAGGGTGGGGGGAGAATGTGTGATGTATGGTGATCAACTGCTGGAGCAAGAAGGTCTAAGAGAGTCAAAGAAATGGATCAACTTAGTTGTCATGTTGGCTTACATTTTGGGATACAGATTTCTCTCTTTTCTTATTCTGTGGTGTAGATCTTACATAAATTACAATTAGTAATTTGTGGTACTAAATTTCATGATAGAACCATCACAAGGCACCGAATTTGGATTAAGTGCGGTTAGTATAGATTATTTATTCAATGCACTAATTTGAATGTTGGGTAAATTATCTCTCCAATTTAGTCATTTAGGTATCCCCATTCCTGTATTCCTGCAATGACCAATCTACCATATATTCAAGTATGTTATATACTTCGTATACCATATAACTATCTTCTATTTCCTAAGACTTATTTGATAAAAGTATTAAGGAGCTGTTTATTTAGGACTAAATGGGCTATAATGGGGATGATGACTTAATCATTCAGTTATAAGGGTGTGTTTACTTGCAACTTAACCAAAAATACAACTTATTCGCTCAGACAAATATTAACTTATTCATTCAGCTTAAAAAGTATACCCCTTCTCGTTCAGACAGGCTAAGAGAGAAACTTTCTCTATTTTGACCCTAGATAACTTTTCACCCCTTTTAACAAGTTTTCCATCGTCGTCATAACTCATAAGCAGGAGAGGCAACATCAATCGGTGGTCATCTTCTCCCGAGTAAATGAGTCATATTTTAGAAAGAAAAAAAATAATGGTCCTTATTAGCACTTCTTTTATATTTTTGTTCTGTTTAGAAACTTTCTCTTTATTTTTTGACTTATTTTCATATTTAGATGGTCCTAACTAAAATGAGGTTAAAAACTAAATAAAAATACGACATAATTATATTATCACAAATCTTATCGTAACTTTTGTTAGATTTTATTAACTAGTCTAGCTTTCACCCGTGCATTGCACAAGATAACAAATCACAAAAATTATTTATGACTCGCTTGAGTTTTCCCGGTCAATTTTATTACATTGAAATTTACATTGTTGACTCTATGCAAGTATACACACTATTAAAATGTAAAAAAAAATGTATGTTTACAATTACAATTCTTGCAACTTATCCTCACACATATAGGGACTTAATAAAGGCATCATTAAGAACTTAATAAAGATGTAATACTAAAATAATCAAGAGTTTTTTGGAATATAGCAACAGTTTACATCCAACATAAATATATTTCATGAAAAGATTTGTACAAAACTGAACTCATAACCCTTGGAAAAGATGATTGATTCTGGTGATAAATCTTGTAAAGTACAATTGTGCCACCGTGTCCTTCTTTATAAAGTACTACGTACAAAACAAAGGGAAGGGGGAAAGCCTAAAACTTTAAGCGTGGGAAACATGAGTAATAAGCCACAACAAGATGATATTCAACAACATTTATAAAATAAAACTACCTCCGTCCCGAACAACTTTGTCATTTCATAAAATTTGGGTCATGATTTTGATTAGTATAATATTATGGAATTTATAAATTTTATACTTGTATAAAATTACCTCTAGCAAAGAACATTTTCATATAATTTTTATATTATAAATCATTTCCAATAAAAATATATGGGGGTTGGTAAAAGTTTTACAAATGGCAAAAAAAATGGGACGGAGGTACTATACATCTTAACATCCCCACTCAAACTCAGCTCATGACGATGACGTCACAACATGTGTAGCATCGAAAATTTGTGAAGAAAGAACTAGAGCGTGTGAGCCTTTATACATAAGATTGTAAATTGCATTGATGATGAAACAAACGGCAAGGAAAGAGTGTCTTTCTTGAGATGATATCATTATGTATATACTACTTATATGATAATCGATCTCAATGTGCTTGGTTTATTCACAAAAAATAGTGGTTGCTACCCCATTCTGTTATGGAGTATCAGTACAAGAAGCCTAATGATCTATTCTACCATAAGCTTTGGAAACATCAGAAAGGTCACCACTAATATACTGAAGGGCAAAGCCAGACATCGCTACAAGGGGGATATAATAAAAAATCAAAACATAAGGAAAAGTTTGCAATTTTGGCCACATAAATTTACTCTGTGCCCGTTTTTAGTCCTAATACTTCACTTGCTCTTAAATTTGGTCATGCAATCCATGTTTTTTTTGCAACTTAAATACTTTTCCACCGGAAAGTACATTTGCTTATAGATAATTCACCACAAAATATGCCGCGAATGTTGATTTTTTTGCCAGAAAGTTTACTTCCAGGTGGAAAATTCTTTAGAGTCCAAAGACCTATTAGTTAGAGGACATAATCAGCTAGCATGCGAGAAAAGTTATGGGACTAATTATGGAGACAACCAAAAGTTACAAGACTAAAATTACAAATCTTCCGAATATAAAACTTAAAATAGGTTGGTTCAACCAGGCACACAAGGTGGGAAGAGGTCAGGAAGAAGTGAGAGGTCTGTGGACATGCAAGAAGCGGGTGCAATGGTGATTGATGGAGCAAAAACCATGGATGAGGCGGGTCTATGTTTCTAGACTCGCCTAGCACCCGCTCTTTCTATAATCTTCTTGCTGCTATTTTAGTTTAGGGGGGATTTGACTTTGCACCTCGCTCTTTGGCTGATATTGGACTTTGCACCCCATTTTTGAAAATTTTTGACTTTGCACCCCATTTCACTTACAAATCCTTTGACTTTGCACCCCATTTACAAATTTGGTTTCACAAAATGTTATATGATGGAGTGCAACGTCAAAGTTTTTCCACAAAGGGGAGGCAAAATCCAATATTACTCAAAAAGTGGGGTGCAAATTAAAGTCAAACTCCCCTTTAGTTTATTGCTTTGATAAGGACAATAGGTGGGTTTTTTGTTGGGTGTGTTTTGCCCATGATGACTTATTTTTCGTTTTAGATGTTGTTTTGAGTCAGGGTCAGAAAAGGACAAGTGATAAGGAATCTAGATTGATCATAATTGTCTTACAATTGCCCAAGTGGGGATTAGCGAATTAGGTGTCTTTTTTTTAGGTGCCTGATACTAAGTTCGGTCCAAGTGCGTATGGTCGAGCTATGGTTTCTGGAATTTGTAGGTCGTCTATTTTATCTAGCCTAGATGATGCTTGTGGTTTTGAAGGTATTTTAACATAAGTCGATTCCTAAAAAAAACATAAAAAATATAGACTTATAGCTAGCCCAATTAATTCTCTTCATAATTTTTTTTTGGGGCGGGGGGTTAAATAATTTCAAATGGTAATATTTGAAAAAAGAAAGTGTATGTGTGTGTGTGTGTGGGGGGGGGGGGGGGGGGGGGCTTAACCAACTACATGCCTCCTCCCTTGAATATGCTCTCTGCCCAAATCAGCATAATGTAAATTTAGAGCTTGTTTATTAGCATTCAAATTGAGAATGAGTTGAATTTATTGAAACTATTAGAATAGTGGTTGTAATGGCTGAATTGGATGAATATAATATATACTAAAACAACATTACCCGAGTGCCGCAAAGGCTCCCCACCTACGATGAGGGTAAGGGAGTTGAATGTACGTAACCTTATCATGTCCTAGAGCACAAAAAGTTTGTTTCCGGATGACCCACGATGAAAATCGTGACGAAATTGCTTGAAGTGACTATAGCTTCATAATATAAAAACACATACACTTAATCCATCCTTTTTGGAGGTTAGTTATTTTGTTTAATACCATCATATTCTCAATGATGAATATGATGAGTTATGAAACACTCAATCCTTCCTTTTTGGAGGTTAGTTATTTTATAGCTTGGTTATCAAAACTAAGCCAATAGTATTACATAACTATTAAAATTATGTTAAAAAATATTAATATTATTTATCAAAATATACTCGAATTTCATTATATTATATAAATAATACTCCGTATCTAAATAATCGTGTCATTTCACCATGAGAACCTTTAACAAGACACATGTAATATCTTTAGGACAGATCCGACAAAGGTTTTCGTGTTTCGGTTAGATCCCCACCCACTTTTTGGACCATAGTAGATAAACTAATCTCTATGGAAACGTTTGCTACTCCCTCGGTATTAAAATATTTGCCACAGTAGAATTTGATACAATATTTTAGAGAGAAGTAGTAGGGGTAATAATAGTCTTGAAAAGTAGGAGAAATTGTGAAAAAGTATGAAATAAAAGAAAAACGCAAAATAAGTAAGACTAATAGAATGTAGAGTACACCATATTTTTTAATAGGAAAACTTACCAAAACAGGAACGCGTATGAAAAAATAAATTAACTCAAAAAAGAAAGTGTAGCAAACATTTCAATACAATGATTATTTATTTATATTTATACATCGTATATATTCCACACATTCAAAGTGTTATCATCTTATTTTTTATTTATCTCAAGAAATGTACGGAGTATCACTTTTTTATCAATTAACTTATGGTTTCTATTACTCCGTATTTGTTTATCCTCAACTACGGAGTACATTTATTTATTATTCATCCTATAGAAGACTTGTCAAAGTTATTACAAGAGAAAAAGAAATACTAAAGAAATATAAAATTTTAGAGAAAAATAATAATACCCAATCCCATAAAACTTGGTGAACTTTCTTTTTTTCAACATCTCAAATATGTGGCTAAAGTTTCATCTATGTTCTGTACAAATTTCAACTACAAAATTTTTACTTTATTGTTCTACGTCTAAGTTTTCTTTAATCAAGTTTTATGGGATGGGGGGAGTAAGACTAAGAACCCGTTTGGTAATATCGAAATCGGCTGAATCGGCTGATTTTGCTGAAAATTATGAAATTCTGGCTGAAGTGACTGAATTCGCTGATTTAGCTGATTTATTGAAAAATTATATTTAAAATATGTTTTATTATTAAAACAAAGAAAATATTATATGTAAATATAACAAAATTGTCATTTACAATAACTTCAGTCAATACAGTCAGAGAATAGTAATTTCAAGCTTACTTTTTCTTATTATTACGTAATTCAATACGCGAAATCAAAAATTACATGTTTGATGAATAAATTGTTCGATAAACCTGATAAGCCTAAAAATTGGGCTACCAAACAAGCACTCAACTTGTTAATAAGTACAGATTACTTTAATTTTGCGACAATACCAGGAGTAAACTTTCGTTTGTTGCATGGAAAGAACCAAACATTGAGAGGACGTTTGACAATATTATTTTTTGATTTACAAGTTTATCAGTCAATTTTTTTATCAATCGCGTAATTTTTGTTTTCGCGCGCTGAATTGTGCAATAATCAGAAAAAGTAAGGTTGAAGTTACTTTTCTGGCTGCATTGGCTAAAGTTACTGTAGATGATCATTTTAGCTATTTTTACAAATAATTTTTTTATTAATAAAATAAATTTTAAAAATAATTTTTTCTTAAATCAGCAGAATTAGCCAATGCAGCCACTTCAGCCAGAACTTTATAAATTTAAGCAGAATCAGCCAAATCAGCTGATTTTGATGCTACCAAACGGGTTTTGAATTCTTTATCTAGCTGGATGACATAATAAATTAGAGATATTAACCAAAATGGGACTAAAAAAGTTTGGAAATTCCAAAATAGGACTTCCATATTTTTATTCCCAAAATAGGACTAATTACTGTCATGTTTTGGCAGTACCAGACTTCAAACATGGCAGTATTTTCCAAATTTGGCAATAATTAGTCCTATTTTGGGAATAAAAACATGACAGTCCTATTTTGAAATTTTCAAACTTTTTTAGTCCCATTTCAGGAACTTTCCCAATAAATTAATAATATTCCGTAAATATTGTGGGGAGTAGGAAAGATTTGCCTGGTCTCCTTTTAAATATAAAAAAACCACGCCTGCAGGAAGAAACAAATTCGCCCCATCCCACCCCTCCCAAAGCTCCGATAACTTCGTCACTCATGGCGGCTGCGGCGTCCACTTCCGTCTCTGTATCCACTCCTTACTCCTCCTCTTTCCGTAATACCCTAAACCCTCCGACCTTTGCCCTCCCTCACAGCATCAGATTCATTTCTTCTTCCAATTCTTCTCTAAAAGCGCTTCATGCTCGAGTTCTTCCTTCCTTTGGCTCTGCCTCCGCCTCTGCCCTCTCAGCTCACTCGGTCTCCGCTCCAGCCACCATTCAGGCGCAGCCCCCTCTCGATTTCGAGACCTCTTTATTTAAGAAGGAGAAAATCACCCTCGCGGGCCGCGACGAGGTAGTATTGCGTGCTTATTTATGTATTTTTATGTTGAAATGATTAGTCTTTCGGCTCTTATCAGCGTTTTTAAATGGTTGTGGTGCAGTATATTGTAAGAGGAGGTAGGGATTTGTTCAATCTGTTGCCGGATGCATTCAAAGGTATCAAACAGATTGGTGTTATTGGCTGGGGCTCACAGGTGAAATTTTGTTCTATAATTGATTCTTGTTTTAATTGTAGTATTTGAATCAAAATCTATTTGTTACTCGATTTGTCTTTTCCTAGTGTTGTGATAGTTTTATGGGAGAAGGAAACCATATGCCCCTCAAGGCCTCACCTTTCTTTTTAAAACTGGAACAAACATACCCTGAATTACCCTCCAACTATATATATTACGTTATATACCCTTTATGTCCAATAGATGAGCTGTTGAGGGTTATATACGTTTTGAATTATATGGTTCGAGCTTATATTTGTTCAAAATTTAAATCTTTTGAGCTTGATTATTCCAAAAAATTGAGGGCTACGTATGTTATCTGCCATATAGGTCAAGAGCATATTTGTTCTGTATCCCAAAATTAAACATTGATTCTCATCAGTATAAAAGATATTTGTATAGCTTAAGATAATTTCAAATTTTCAAGTTGCAGGATACTTATGTTTTAGGTAAAAAGTTAGACGTATTCCTCTTTTTTATCCATTCACTGTCATTACAAAGGTTATTGTGGCATTAATCTTTAATCAAAATCTCTATGTAATATGTGTCACAGAAAATGAATGGTCTTGTCTTGGTTTTAATCCTCTCCATATTGTGGGGGCTGGGGGGTAGCAATGTTTTTAATATTTTCTTGTCATTTCTAAAGTGATATGATAACTTGCTGACTTTGTAGTAAATCTTTTTGTTGATTGTGTATAATAATTGACAGGGCCCTGCTCAAGCTCAAAATTTGAGGGATTCTCTTGCAGAAGCAAAGTCGGATATTGTGGTCAAGGTGATAATACTAATACAGTTGTACCCCTGTATTCCCGATTTCTTTAAGCAGGAAAATAATATTAATGACATAAGAAGTGAATGAGTGAAGTGAGAAGTTCAAACAAATCCTTTGCATTGGATTTATGTAACAGTTAGAAAAATCGGTCAAGTGCTTGTGCCGGCTAGGGGTGCCTAGGCGGCCCTTAATATTTTTTTTTTCCCATTCCAACTATTTTTATTAAATTTATTTTAATATTCCTACCAAAAAAACAAGTCTTAAATTTATACTTCATATAATTTTTTTAGATATTCAAAAACACAAACCTCTTATTTTATAGAGGCTTTTACAAGAATATTACTAAAATAAAACTTATTTACACAAATATGACTATTCATTACTACAACGTAGTGTTGTAGTAACTTAAGTTCAAAACTTGAACATGAATTACTATAATTTCATTACAACTCTAGTAACTAGTCATATTATTGTAAACTATCTTTATTTTGGTCATATTTATGTAATTATTTCTATTTTATACTACCTCCGTCCTGGTGGACTTTGCCAAGTTCAAAATAGGTGGTGAGGATTAAGAAGAGTAAAAACTGTGTGGTTGAGGTTTGTGCAGAGAGAGAATTGAATAGAATCACAAAAATTAGTTGCTTTAATAGGAAAGTGACAAAGTTTTTCGGGACAACCAAAAAGTGAAAGTTGGCAAAGTCCAATGGAACGGAGGTAGTATAAAATTTTCTATTAATTATTTTAATGATTATAATTTACTACAAATATATAATCCCTCTGTGCCACAAACTTTGTGAACTATCCTTATTTGGCTGTCCCAAAAAATTTTGCCATTTCAATTTAAATATATGGTTAAAGTTATTTATTTCTCCTCTACACAAATCTTAATTAAACACTTTTTACTTTTTTAATCCATTTGCAAGTCAACTTTTGCCAAGTTTTATGGGATGGAGGTAGTAAAGTTATATACGTAGTAGTTATTTCTGTTTTAAAAATATTATTATAAGGTCATTATTAAACAATACTAAATCTGATTGTTGGAAATAAAAACAAAACACAAATAGAGCGGAAGACCTAGGCACCATAGGCGAGGCGACCTAGAAGTCTAGAACCTTTTAGAACACTGTGTGAAGCTAATTAAGTATTCATTTTCTTTTTTCAGATTGGTTTAAGGAAGGGTTCCCGCTCTTTTGATGAGGCAAGGGCTGTTGGGTTTACTGAAGAAAATGGAACCTTAGGAGATATATGGGAGACTATCTCTGGCAGCGACCTTGTGCTGTTATTAATATCAGATTCAGCTCAGGTTGACACTTCTATTATTCCTGAGCTATTAACTTGCTGTCTTATGTTTCAACTATTTTGTCCCTCAGTTGCAATGATTTATTGTATGTCTTTGACTCGTACATTTTAATGTATGCCCATACTCAATTTGTAATAAATATGATCACTTAAGCAGTCTTTTTTATTATTGTATTTACTGTCAGTAACTGACCAAGTTTTTAAGTCATCCTTAAACTCTTAAAGTTTAAAATTTAGTATTTTTTAAATGAGAAGTTTCCACTTTTGGTACCTGGCTTTTATCTTCTCCATTTGTTTGTGCACAGTTATGAGTCTCTGGTCACTTTTGGTTACTCCTGTCACTTAGCCAACAAAAGTCTTCCAGATATAATACACACATTGTCTGGATAGGTTGTCGGAAGTACTATTATTGGCAAAAATCCATAATTATGAACCAAAAGGTGTAAAAGGTGACGGCCATGGATCAAAAGATGGAATTACGAGTAAATTTTTATTTTGAAAAGTCTTATAGTTACGGTAATGAAGATGATTTGTGCATTAATCATTTCATCTTGTCCTTTTTAATGTGAGAAGTTTTCTGAGATCTGTGATGCACTGCAGGCTGATAACTATGAAAAGATTTTCTCTCACATGAAGCCAAATAGTATACTTGGGCTATCGCACGGATTCCTTCTTGGCCATTTGCAGTCGATGGGTCTTGACTTCCCTAAGAACATCAGTGTTATAGCTGTGTGTCCAAAAGGAATGGGCCCATCAGTTAGGAGGCTGTATGTGCAGGGAAAAGAAATCAATGGGGCTGGAATCAATTCGAGTTTCGCAGTCCACCAGGTCTCATAAGTTCACTTCTATCCTCCCTCTCATGGGATCATGTTACTTTTTGGTCTATAGCGCGTGGTTTAACTCTTATTTCACTATGCAGGATATTGATGGTACTGCCACTGATGTTGCTCTTGGGTGGTCAGTTGCCCTTGGTTCTCCTTTTACTTTTGCTACTACCCTAGAGCAGGAGTACAAGAGTGACATATTTGGTGAAAGGGGTAAGTGACAATCCTATTTCAGTTCTATTGAACTTTGGAGTTCTACACTGTAATTCTTGCATAATTTTTTCCTTATTCATGGTTAGGGATTTTACTTGGTGCTGTTCATGGCATTGTGGAGTCACTGTTTAGAAGGTACACTGAGCATGGAATGGATGAGGAACTTGCCTATAAGAATACTGTGGAGTGTATAACTGGAATTGTTTCTAAGACCATATCAACACAGGTTGGTTGTTTCAGCTCCCAAGGATCCGTTTGGAACCCAGAAATGACTAGTTAAACAAAATAGTGAGGAAAATGATAAGGAAAAATTGAGGGAAATTATGGATAGTCGCGACCTGAATAAATTTATTGTTCAAACTCATTTTTTTTAAAAAAGAAATTGCCTAAAATAGGAGTAAAAACAATGTGAATTCCTTGAATAGGAGTGCTATGTTTACTTCTTAAATGAGTAATTACTCTCATCCTGAAAAAATAATACTCCGTATTAATGTGTGCACTACAATAATATGGCACTATGATTTCAACATGGCAACATCCTTCTCCTATCCCGGGATAAACCATACTCTATATTACCCCTATTTAGGCTTTTAGGGAAATCTCCACGTTTTTACCTGAAAATTTCACTATTTACTTCATGTAAGTCTAAGAAATATGAATATATGGAAAATAATAATCATGTTTTGTTTTGCTTTGCATTTTATGACATCTATTCAAACATAAAAAATAACCTTTTTTACATGTTTTTCCTCTCAACAGTATATTCCAATAATTACATGATTCGAACATACCCTAATTTTTATATAATGATTTCAGCAACCACCTATTTTGGCCCATACTATCTCAAGATGTTTTCCATGATACATGTATTGTTCATAATATAATACTCCCTCTGCCCTTAAAACTCAGCCAAGTATGACAGACACGAGGTTTATAATAAAATAAAAATTGTGTGATTGAGGGTTGAGCAGAGGAGAAAGAATTAACTGGAACCACAAATTCTCTACTCAAAAGGGAAAGTTGCAAAGTTAGTGGGACAACCAAAAAAGGAAAGTTGGTAAAGTTTAAGGGACGGAAGGAGTATAATATAATATATTAAATTATTAATATTACTTTTTCTATAGGGAATGTTGGCCGTGTACAACTCATTGAGTGAAGAAGGAAAGAAAGAATTTGAGAGTGCATATAGTGCTTCATATTATCCGTGCATGGATATCTTGTATGAATGCTATGAAGATGTAGCCACAGGTAGTGAAATCAGGAGTGTTGTTCTGGCTGGGCGTCGCTTTTATGTAAGTTTGTTTCTTTCTGCTTCTATGGAAGCACTGACATGTGAAAAGTGGATTTTACTTTTCTCACTTTTATGTCACATTCTTTTCCCAGGAAAAAGAGGGTCTACCAGCTTTCCCTATGGGTAAAATTGATCAGACACGAATGTGGAAAGTTGGTCAGCGTGTCCGAGCGGTTCGACCAGTTGGCGATCTTGGTCCTCTGTATCCTTTCACTGCTGGTGTCTTTGTGGCACTCATGATGGCTCAAGTGAGTTCCATTTGTTTATATTTACGTGTTAACTCATGATATAAAGATTTTAAAATGAAGGGATGCATATTTACTACCTTAGCCTCTTCTGATTAAATCACGGTTTACACCCTTAATTCTTGGGGTTTACACTGTATTTTTTTCTTCAAATCTACCTTATTACTATTCAATTCAGTTTACCCTTTTCCCCAAGGGGCCATAAATGAGAGGGTGGCTGTTGATGAGATTCATTTAGGTAAGGTCCTAAAAGGTTTATCACTCCAATCCCCTTTCAAATGGTGTGATATGAACCGAGGGGAGTAATACTGTGGGTTTTTAACGGGAGAAAGTAATTCTGTATTTGTATCTCAATGATTATAACTTAAATAATTAAATAAAGTTAACTACATTTCTCCTTTAACTTTGTGTTTTTATCAACTGTAAACAGATAGAGATTCTGAGGAAGAAGGGGCACTCATACTCAGAGATCATAAATGAGAGCGTGATAGAGTCTGTGGATTCACTGAACCCATTCATGCACGCACGTGGCGTCTCGTTCATGGTCGACAACTGCTCAACAACCGCACGGCTGGGGTCTAGGAAATGGGCCCCACGTTTTGACTATATTCTCACCCAGCAGGCACTTGTCGCTGTGGATGAGGGTGCCCCCATCAACAGGGACCTCATCGGCAACTTCCTCTCGGATCCCGTGCACGGAGCCATCCAAGTGTGTGCCGAGTTGAGACCCACTGTTGATATATCTGTGCCCGCAGATGCAGATTTCGTTCGCCCTGAGCTGCGCCAGTCTACCAAGCAAGGCAGCTCTTGAAGACCATCGCTTTATGCAAGTGGCTATGCAGTAGTGGTCTTTTTTCCCTTTTTCACGTGGGATGTTTTTGCAGTGAACCTGTTCACGGTGTCAATTTATTCGGTCAACAACTACGCATCTTGTGGAACTGTTATCTGTGTTGCTGGTTTGAGATATTGAGCCAAACGAATGCTAGTCTATATTATTGCATTTTAGCTCTTCGTCCTACGGCTTCTTTTCTCTCAAACCTTAAGCCTTAATTTTCTTTTTCGGCTTCTCTATCGGTCTTCATTTATGTGATTATGTCTATCTCTATCTTCTCTGTCCATGTGTCCATCTATTACTCCGTCTGTCTGAAGCAACCTCTCTCTTTTCACTGTCTGGTCATTTGCTTCCAATTTGAAACCTCAATAGTATTTAAGATTCTCCATTGTGACCTTTAATTTGAAGGAATATGAGGACTCGTTCAGAATAAATTGTAAGAATTAAAACATTAGAATTATTTCTACTCTTTCTATTTCAAAAATATCTGAGCAATTTAAATTTAAAATATAAATAAGAGTGGCTGCAGATCTGCTATGGATTTTAGTTTCTAAAAGTAATGGGAGTATTAAATGCTGTGACTGAAAATTGTTCTCATAAAACTATATGTTCACATATGGGTGCCGCTTTAGCAAACACCACCATTAGCATGAGGAACCTTTAGGAGAGGCTGGTCAAACCGTTGTTTTGTTGCTAGTGGCCGAAAAAATTGGATTATGTTCCTTTGATTTGTTGTTGTCTCAGAACTCTTTTATGTTTTTTGCGTTTCCTTTTAGTAGCAAGTGAAGCATTGTTGTGAATGGAGTCTATCAAATCGTGAGGTTAGCGAGATGGACCGCTAGTAAGTGTGATTCTAGCTCTGAGTCTCACCCAGTGTAGCCCTTGTTATGAGGAACTTGTATCTGGTCCTCAATTTTAATATCAATTAAGTTATCTTTTGCCAAAACAAAAAAAAAAACTCCCACATGGTATGTCTAATTCCCATATGGTAAGAATCATGAAGTATATGGTCAAATAATTAATACTCATATCCCGTTTTAGCAAAACATCTATTTTTTTAAGGAACAGAACATCTATTTTTAATTCTTATCATTACCAATTTGCAATAGTTTACGTTTAGACTTCCAATATTTTCTAACAACCCCTAAATGCTAAAGTTCATTAGACTTGTGTGCCACTGGACTCTTTTAAAGCTTCAAATAATCCTAGAGTGCTAGTTAATTCATGATGATATGACTAGAGATAATGGTGGCCGATGATGGCTAGGTTTATGGGGAGGGCAGCCGGGCAGGACTGGGGACGTCTGGGGTTGTAGAACGTGCTGATGGGAGAGTGCCGGGATGGCAAGGTGGGCGGTGAATGGGGTCGTGGACAGTGTAGATAGGGTAGCGGTGGTAGTGGTCTTTGGATGGGGTGGCATCGGCAGTGGTCTTTGGTCGGGGTGGTGGTGGCAGTGATCTTTGGCCGGGATGGTGGTGGCAGTGATCTTTGGTTGGGGCGGTGGCATCAATCACAAGCCGGAGCGTCGTCCACAGCATTGACTGAGGCTTTCACTATTTGGTGGAGTCATTACTATCGACCGAAAATGACTACAACGGTGTCAACTGGCCGGGGCGGCAGCAGTCACCGCTCGGGTTGGTCACTAATTGGTGGAGTCACTGCCAACGGGCAACGATAGCGGCGGCGGTAATCATTGGACTGAACAATTATTAATTGGTGGAGTTAGTGTCGACGAGTCATTAGTTGGTGGAGTTACGATTGTTGTGGCGGCCACTTTGGTGGTAGCCAACGAAGTTACTGAACGATGTGGGGTGACAGAGTCACTAACCGACAATGTCATTATGGCGGCGGCGGCAGAGATGATGGTGGCAGGGGTCGTTGGGGGTGTGTAGAAGACATTGATTAATTATTAATTATAAAATGGAATATTATAATAATAGTAAATTTAACATTAAACAAGTTCATAAGTGATATTGGTAAGTCATATTTTTGGAAAGATTCAAAACATGCCACATTTTGTCTTTTGAATCTATTTTAGTTATATTGATAAAAAAGGCCGAAATAATGACGGGGATATTACTCCTAGAGTTTTAACGAACATAAATATGACCATCTTTGAAATAGGAAAAAAAAAGTGCTAAATGAATATTAAATGGTTTAAAATCTATGTTGTAAGAACCGGACCGGGAGGCGACCCGGAAAAGCCACTGGGTCACGGGTCAACCCGGAGTCGGGAGGGTCAACCCGGTCAACGCCGGGTCAACCCGGTCAATGGTTATTGAAAAATAAAATATAAATATACCTAATTATAAATTTGATTAAAGTTGTATGACCAAAAATAATTTTCATCCAAAATTTAAAAATAGTTATAAGATTGAATTAAAACTAGATGTACCAATATATAAAAAATCTCACAAGATTAAAGGTGTATTTGGATGGAAAATATGGGAACATAATACTTTGAATCTATATAAGAATTACAATTATGATGACTAAATATAATGGATATTTCATAAATACGTATTAGTATATTAATAGTTTAATACTACTTGTCAAAATGGTTATTATTGTGATTCTGATTTAATAACTTAAATAGTTACTCAAGTATAATCTAAAAACATAAAAATGAAAGGAAGCACTCAGAACATAAGTAGTCTAGCTGATTCGAGTTAGAAGCTGTTCTCTTCGCCTGATCTGAATGTTTCTGATCTGATCTGAATTTTTTTGATCTGATCTGATCTGAATCTTTCTGATCTGATCTGATCTGAATCTTTCTGATCTGATCTGATCTGATCTGAATCTTTCTGATCTGATCTGAATGTTTCTGATCTGGTCTGATCTGATCTGAATGTTTCTGATCTGATCTGAATCCTTCTGATCTGATCTGAATCTTTCTGATCTGATCTGATTCGAATATTTCTATGATTATAATTATAATTATAATTATAATTATAATTATTATTATTATTATTATAATTTCAATTACAAATATAATTTAAATAAAATTATAATTATAATTGTAATTATAATTACAATATTTATCTCTATAATTGTAACTATAGTTATCAATATTATTATAATTACTCCGTAAAATAATTACAATAGTAATAATAATAATAATATTAATTATAATAAAAATAATAATTATAATCATAAATTATAATTATAATGTAATTATAAGTATAATTATAATTATTATAATTATAATTAATAATAATTATAATTATATTAACATTAATTATAATATTATAATATAATAATAGTAATATAAATACAATTAATATTATTATAACGATATTATTATATTGATATTATTATTACAATAATATAATAATAATAATATGATTATTATTATAATTAGTATTATATTATTATAATATTATATTATAATTATAATCATAATTATAATTATGATTGTAATTATAATTATAATTAATTACAATTATAAATATAATTAATTATAGATATAATTATAATAATTACAATTGATTATACTTATAATTATAAGAATTATAATTGTAATTATAATTATAATTACATATAATTATAATATAATATTATAATAATATTAATCATATTATTATTATTATAATGTTGTAATAATAATAGTCTTCTTAACAATTGCATTTATATTACTATTATTATATTAAAAAATTATAACTATTATTAATATCTTTTTTTATCATATTATTATTAATATTATTAATAATAATTATATAATAATAATCATAATAGTAATAATAATAATAATAATAATAATAATAATTAATATTTAATATAATAATAAAAGTGATAAATCATGTTTGAACTTTTCTGATCTGATCTGATCTGAATGTTTCTGATCTGATCTGAATGCTTCTAATCTGGTCTGATCTGATCTGGATCTTTCTGATCTGAATCTTTCTGATCTGATCTGATCTGAATTTTTCTGATCTGATCTGATTTGATCTGAATTTTTCTGATCTGATCTGATCTGATCTGAATAAAATAAGAATAAGCAATAAGTAATAAGAATAAGACGAACAGAACAGCACCTTACACATGTTTGCCCCGGTGACCTGGGTTCGAATCCCTTGGAAGCTAAATTTTGCTGAATAAATGTGCGGGCCGCCGGTTCAAACTGGTTTTGGACGGTCCGGGTCCGTCGCGGGTTATAGCGGTTCGCCGGTTATTTCCGATTTGTTCCATATTTGCGGGTCTCCATTCAACCGGACCGGCACCAGAGCCGAGTGACCGGGTTCCGGGTCGAACCGGCCGGTCCGGTTCGGTTCTTACAACACAGTTTAAAATACGGAGTAGAACTTATTAAACGGTTATACCAAACCCCACGCTACCCTCATTATACGCATCTCACTTCTCTCCTCCCTATAACACATCTCACATCCAGGGAATAGGAGAGCCGCCAATGGGAACGAATCTCCGCGCACATGTCGTCATCGCTACACACATCCCGCCGTCGTCGCCCTACTATCACGTATAAGCCGATGGCCTTCTATCACGCGTCCCTCCCCATTGTTGTGAATTCCGCCCCTTCTCATCTTCTTCTCTTTCTGTTGTGTGTGATTGGGATTGGCGACAAACCTGACGACTATGGAAATGTTGAGGGCAAATGAGATACCAACGACCGACTAGGGCTAGGGCCACGGGGGATTTCGAGAGTGGTGGTGACACCATTTTCAACAGATGAGGGTGCAATGTGACACTTGCGGGTGTGGGTGTGGGTCT